CTACCCCCTGGGGCTGCCCCCCTGCCTCTACCGGACACCCGGCATGTTCTTCTTCGAGTGAGGGACTGACCCACCCCAGGACGCCACCGGCCCTGGTACCAAATAAAGCATGTTCCCCAATGCTGCCTCTGTGGTCTCTGCGCCCCGTTTGGGGTGGGCAGCGGGCAGGGGTGAGCTGGGGACCCTTTGCCCCAGCTCATGCGCTGGCTGGGGGACATGCGTCCCCAAGGCCACCTGGTGCAGCCCTCATCCCTGCTGAGAGGGGACAATCAATGGCTGGGCAGTGAGGCTGCAGGGGGACAGGGCATGGCCTGAGTGAGGGAACCTCCTTCCAGGTCCTGTGTCCCTGGGAGATGCTGGGGACAAGGTCCTGCTACAACGTGGGGCCAGGAGCCCCTGAAGCCCTGTCCTGGGTAGCAGGAGGCAACCTCACCCATGAGGGTCAGGGGGATGTGCTGCGGCGGAAAAGAGCCCCCACAGAGTCCTGCTGCTGCCTCCCCACGCCTAGGAGCACTCAAAGTGCCTGGCTTCACGCTGGGTGCCACACATGGCACAACCGGCACCAGCCTCAGCTCCTGGCCCTGCTCATGCACCAGTGTGGCCCTGGAGAGACGCTGGATAGGAGTGGGTGGCAGTGGCACAGTGTGGGGGCTCTGCTGTCGGGGGGACAGGTCTCCCTCCCCTCTCTGTCCCTGCTTGGGGCCATGCCGGTGCCCACGTGGGGTCCCAGCAGGTCCCTGCAGACACCCCCAGGATGGGGCACCCCCCAGAGCCGGGCTGTGCCAGGGACTGCGGCTGTGATGGGAACAGCCAGGGGGGAAAGTGGATTCCACCCACCTGAAACATTCTGGGGCGGAGGAGGCACCAGCTGAGTCACCACTGCCGGCACCGTGCTGGGCACGGGGGGCTGCCCCGACAGCCGGGCTGGGGGGCACCAGGTTGGGTGGGCATCTCCGCGCAGCGCCAGGCAGGGACCTGGCCACCAGCCCCTTCCTGCACACTGATGGGACACCTGGGCCAGCATCTCCACAGCGCTGGAGTGGGGCCAGAGCAATGCCGGCAAAGTGGGAACCCGTGCCCCCATCCTGCCCACACCAGCCTGGGAGAGGGGGGACCCCAGGAGCAGCAATGCCTGGACCCCATGGCACAGGCAGCCCCAGGACAGGCACGGGGGGAGGACGCTGGGTCAGTGGGGGCTCTCCACGCTCTGTGGACAGTGGGTGTGTGGCAGAGCTTCCCCCCAGCCCCCCAAGGCCAGCGGGACCCCAGCTTGGCCCATCCTGGGGGTCTCTGCGGGGGCTGTGCTGGCACCAAGGGACGGCGCTGGCGTCACTCAGGGACCAGGAGCACCCAGGCCG